CTACGAGGCTCTCAGCGACCCGGCAAGGAGAGCGAGATACGACGGGCACCTCGACGGCGGGGGCGAGGCCGCTGCCGGGCTGTGGGAGGACGGGGGCCGCAGCGACCCCTGCCGGGGCCGGGGAATCTGCCCTGCGAGGGGGGGTGGCCCAGACCTGTGATGTCCCAGCCTACTTCAGCCCTGTTCGCCAGAAAGGATGCCGAGCACCAGGGAGGTGCCGACACCGGAGGGTTGTCACGTCACGTGCCGGGCCCTGGGAGGCGCTGCTCGCTCGACACGTCTCGCCAGCGCGTCGGGCGGACACCGTGTCGCTGCTTTCCTGGGCGCTCGACATCATGAGGGAAGCAAGAAGTCACACAAACATAAAGACTGGGAGGTCCGCGCGGATTTCTCGGATCGGCGCTGGACCCCCTCCCTGGCGCGCGGAGCGCGCCAGGGGCGGCGCAAGAGGCGCCGCTGGGGGGCCCCAGCGCCGATCCGAGAAATCCGCGCGGACCTCCGAGCTTTTATGTTCATGCCACTTTCTGCTCCCCTCATCATTTCTGGGACGTGGTGCTCAGGTACGATGGGAGCAGCACTTGGCGGCGAGCAGAAGGGGGTAGAGGGAGGGGGGAAGGTTTCTTAGAAGGAGGCTGCTTCTTAGAAGGCGCCGGGCTTACATCTACAGAGAAGGCCCGCACCTTCTAAGAAGCAGGGGTGCTTCTAAGTAGCCTGCTCCCTTCCCCCGACCCCCCTCTGCGCGCCGCCAAAGCGCAGCGCCACACTTCCAGCGCCCGAGCAGCACCGCGCCAGACCTCCATGAGGGGGCCCTGGGACACAAATAATCACACGCAGATAAAAAAAAGGATTCCCCATATTTACCCCTATATTTTCTGGGCTTTTCTGGGGAATCGACGATTCATTGTGTCTGTGTGGTATTTTTCCCTCCAGCGCCCGAGCGGGCCTCCCTTGGGGTGCGAATCCTTTGTGTTTGCGTGTGCTTCTATGCACTGTCCTTCTCCTGTGATCCACATTCCCAATGTTTTACAGCGGTTCCTATAGATTGGGCCTCCCTTGGGGCACGGGTCCTTGGTATTTTACGCGTGTTCCTATTGATTGCCCCTCTCCTGTGGCTTCAATTCAAAGTGTTGCTGCTCCGCGAGGGCGGAGGCCTTCTGGACGCTCCCTGCTCTCTGGCGCGGGCGGCGGCCCCTCGACCGCCGCCCTCCGCGGGCGGGGGCTCCGCCGCTCTGCGGGGGCCGAGGCCCCTCGGCCGCCTCGGCGCCTGGGCGGCCACTGCTGGCCCTCGGCCAGGAGGGAGCGAAAAACACGCAGAGACACAATGGATCGTCGATTCCCCAGAAAACATGGGAAAACATGGGAAGTGGGGGGGGGGAGACCAAAACCCAGAACAAAAACACGCAGGCACAATGGATCGTCGATTCCCCAGAAAACATGGGAGAATATGGGAAGTGGGGGGGAGACCAAAACCCAGAACAAAAACACGCAGGCACAATGAATCGTCGATTCCCCAGAAAGTATGGGAGAATATGGGAAGTGTGGGGGGGAGACAAAAACCCAGAAGATGTGGGAACATGTGGGGGAAATCCTTTTGTTCGTGTGTATTTATCTGTGTGTCCCAGGGCCCCTTCACTCGGGTCCGCCCGCAAACGGTGCAGGACGAGTCTTTGGCCGGTCCTGGGGAAAGGGTCGGGGCTTCGGGGGACCCCGAGGCGAGAAAATCACGACGCGGGGGTCTGGCCTCTTCCTTCCTCCTCCCCGCCTCGGTCCTCCGCCTGCTCCTCAGAACGGTAGGTCGTCGCGGTCCCCCTTCGGCATCTTTTCTGAGCTCCTCTGAGCTCCTCGGGCTTGCCCCAGCTCGTCCTGCCGTCAGTGGCCCGATGATGGACAACATCGGTTCTCGAGGTTTGAGGATCGAGGATGGGAGTTTCGGGGTGCCCTTGTGCTCCTGTGGTCCTCCATAGGCCTCGGTGACCTCCTCCCCCTTCCCCTCCCCTTCACCCTCCCCCTCCCCCTCCCCCTCCCCCTCTGCCTCCTCCTGCTCCTCCTTCTCCCTCTCCTGCTCCTCCTCCTCCCTCTCCTGCTCCTCCTCCTACCTCTCCTACCTCCCCTCCTCCTACCTCTCCTACCTCTCCTCCTCCTCCTCCTCCTCCTCCTCCTCCTCCTCCTCCTCCTCCTCCTCCTCCTCCTCCTCCCTCTCGACGGAGCAGGGGTGCGGTGGGTGAGACGGGCGGAGAGGCGGGGGAAGGCAGGGAGGCACGCAGGGAGGCGCGGGAGGATGGGCGGAGGGAGCGGAGGGTGGATGAGAGGCCGCATGGGCAGAAGTATCGGGGCCGACGACATTAGGGGAACAAGAAGTGGCATAAACATAAAAACTTGGAGGTCCGCGCGGATTTCTCGGATCGGCGTTGGACCCCCCTCTATGGCGCGCGGAGCGCGCCAGGGGTGGCGCCAGAGGCGCCGCCAGGGGGTCCGCCGGAGGGTGGGGATGAGTGGACGCATGGGCAGAAGCTTTGTGGGCCCCGGAAACGGCAGGGCCGTTTTCACCGTTTCCAAAAAAAAATATCCCTTGACAATGGGAACGGCAAAAAGACGGCGACCAGAAACGGCAAAAAAACGGCTCCAGGATTGGAACCGGAGCCGGAACCTGTCAAAAAACGGCGCCGGAACCGGTAAAACAACGGCGTCCGAACCGGCAAAAAAACGGCATAACGGAACCGGTAACAAAAACGGCCTTGTCGTTTCCAGGGCCTACCTAGGGCAGAAATATCGGGGGCGACGACACGGGCGGAGAGCGCAGGGGAGGGTAACACGTGTATCCGTTGGCGCCGACGGTCCACGTCTTCGGCGAGGCTCCTGGGCGAACACGTGCAATGCCCGCCCCTGGGCTATTCGCCACTATTGTCGCCCCCGAAAGAATGGGTGTACGATCGAGACGGGAAGCTAAAAAGGGAACGGTCGTGATGGTGTTCATCATGGCTATAATGGCGATGGCGATGAAGATGGCAACGCTGACGACGATGGCGATCATCATGATGGCGAACGACGGTGATGATGGGAATGACGTGGTTGTTGAGCATGAAGATAGTGATGGTGATGATGATGCTGATGTTGATGTTGATGCTGATTGCGATGGCGACGATGGCGCTGATGATGTGGATGATGCTGATGATGGTGATGATGATGACGAATCAGATGACGCCTTTCAGACGCATTTTGATGAGCCCCAGGAGGCACGCACCACTTATATTATCTTGGCTTTTGCTGGCTTTTAGCACTATCGCGTGCTCGGCCTTGCCCACGAAAGCCCAAGAGGCTCCCAAGATGGCCCCAAGACTGTCCAAAAGGACCATGAGAGCCCCTGGCCAGCCCCAATCCTGCCCAAGCGGGCGGTAAGAGGGCTCCAAAGCTGCCCCAAGAGACCTTCAAGATGGCCTCGAGGGGCCTTAGGTGGCTCAAAAAGTCCCCATGACAGCCCAAGAGGACCCGAAGCTTGAGACAGCCCCAGCTGGTCTCCTATATTACCCAAGACCGCTTCAGGATAGTAGGGCCCGCCCAAAACGGCCTCCTGGTCTCCCTGGCCCAAAGTGCTGTTCAACGAGGCCCCCCCCTAAGAGCGCCGCATGAGCCTCTAGGAGTAGGAGACAGGCATGAGGGAGGAGGGGTAGGCGGGAGAGAGGAGGGCAGGGGGACGATGGGCGAAAAGGAGGGGCTTTATGGATGAGGCAGGATGGGGGAAGGAGGATGAAGGATGGGAGACTAGAGAAGGCGAAGCACGGACCGGGATGAGGGCCAGAGAAATCAGAGACGAGGAAGCGATAGGGAGTGTGGAGGGAGGATGTGTGGCGGAGTCCAGGGCGGAGGAGGAGGAGGAGGAGGAGGAGGACGCAGGCAGGAGGTAAAAGAAGGGAGGGAGGATCGAGACAGGAGGAGGGGCAAGAAAGGAGGAGGAGAGAGGTGACAGATCATCCGGTATGGTTGTGCGAATGGCTAAGGGCCTCCAGTGGGCGCCGATGCCACAGGATACTCAGAACTGTCGCAGTTTGCTATGACCTACGCGCGAAGTGCGCGCGCGTGGATCTGGGATATATTCTTGTATGTATATATATATATATATATATATATATTCTTAAAGGCATCAAATCGTGCTTTTCCGTGTAGGCGATGTCCACGAGACTAGCCATGACAACATGCACGTCTCCGAATCAGGGCGCCTCTTGGGACAAGTGCGTGCTTGCTTTGGCAGTGGCCTCGACGCGCGTGCGCCCCAGGCATCTGGGAGCAACTTGCGGGCCATGCCGGGATCTCCTGGGGCCTCCTTGAGGTCATCTTTTGGGGCTCTCCAGCATGGGCGCCGCCGGTAGCGCACCGCTGCAGTCATTGCCCAGCCGGGCTGCCTCAGCCATCGCTCGCTGACCCAGACCTCCCCAGAGCAACCTCAATATGAGCGGCGGTTCAGAGACGGGGCCCCTGAGGTAGTGGGCCCTAAGTGCGAGAATCTGAAACAGTGAAGGTTCATCTTGTGATCCATTTCCTGCCCTTAGTGCCATGCTATGGGGAGGGTGGGGATCTCCTGCTTCTCCTTTCCTTCCTCAGCCTCCCCTTTCGCACTCCCTCTCCTCATGCTGCTGCTGCTCCTCCTAGTGGGGGGAGCGCCTCTTTACACGATTCCCTGGCCCCGCCGTCGACCTGTTCCGCAGCTTCTTCGACGGCGCCAGCTGGGGATCCCCAGGTGCGCTGGCCGATCAAAAGTCTTGGGGGTGGCTCACGGGGAGGTGTTCAGGGAGGGGTGGATGAGGATGGGATGAGGAAGAAGATGAGAAGAAAGAGAAGGAGGACGGACGAGGATGAGGAGGGACATGATCATGATGAGGAGGAGGACGATTATGATGATGATGCTGATGATGATGCTGCTGATGATGATAATACGGACGATGATGATGGTGATGCTGATGATGGTGATGATGATGATGATGCTTCTGGTGATGATGCTGCTGATGCTGATGCTGATGATGCTGATGTGGATGATGCTGATGCTGATGCTGATGCTTACGCTGATGATGCTGCTGCTGATGCTGATGACGATGCCGATGACGACGATGTTGGTCATGATGATGATGATTCTGATGCTGATGCTGATGGTGCTGACGATGCTGATGCTGATGATGCTGATGATGATGATGATGCTAATGCTGATGCTGATGATGATGAGGATGATGCTATTGTTGATGCTAATGATAATGATGATACTGCTGATGATGAGGATTATGATGACGATAATGATGATAATGCTGATGCTGATTATGATGATGATAATCATGGTGCTGATGATCCTGATGCTGGTGATGATGATGAGGATGATGCTGATGAGGATGATGATCATACCGCTGCTGCTGATGATGATTATGATGCCGATGCTGATGCTGATACTGATGCTGATGCTGATGCTGTTGCTGCTGATGATGACGACGTTGGATGATAATGATGATGATGATGATGATGATGATGATGATGATGATGATGATGATGATGATGATGAGGATGATGATGATGTTGCTGATGCTGGTGATGCTGATGATGATGCTGATGCTGCTGTTGATGCTGATCCTGATGATGATGCTGGTGCTGCTGCTGATGGTGGTTGTGATGGTTTCGGTGCGGAGGATGATGATGCTGCTGATGCTGATGATGCTGTTGCTGTTGATAATGATGATGCTGATGATGCTGCTGATGATGATGGTGATGATGGTGATGAGGATGATAATCATCATGAGGAGGAGGAGGAGGAGGAGGAGGAGGAATAGGAGGAAGAGGAGTCATAACGCAACACCGCGATGCTGGTGTATGTGTATGTGAGGCCCACGTAAGGAAGAGCAGCAGGAGGAGGAGGAACAGCAGGAGGAGGAGGAGGAGGAGTAGGAGGACGACGAGGACGAGGAGGAGGAGGAGGATGTGGAGCACTTTCCTCCTTCCCCTTCTCCATTCGCCTCCTCCCTGTCCCTTCTCCCTCTCAATACTCTTTCTCCTCCTCCCTCTCCTCTCTTCCCTCCTTCCCTTCTCCTGCCGCACACGCTGCGGCGTAGCCCTGATGTTGTGAGGCCACCATTTTCGTTGCGGGGGCTGGAAATCCCTAGACATCCTTCGGTCAGTTTTTATGTTTGTTTACTTTGATTTGTTCGGTTTTTGTGACTTCAACTCGGCGGACACGGACGTCTCGAACCTTGCCCCAGCAGCATGTATTGTCTTGGGTACCAGATTTGGATGACCCCTGGGGCCCAGAGGTGGCCCCAGGGAAGCCGAACTCGAGGAAAGGGTCCAGATGTGCAGAATTCCATCCGCCTGGGGTCTGGGAATCCCTCCGTTTTCCTGCGCCTCTCTAGGCAATTCAGTCATACAATGCTTACCGCTTACCTTTGGACGCCAGATCCTGTGCTGCGAACCAGTCGTCGGTGCCGCCTCCAGGAGAAACTACACGTACACTCTGTGCCGTTGCAGCCCTCGGATCCGATGTCACGGAAGTAAACCCAGCAAAGCATCCTGACAGCAGCTAAGGTGTGGAGGCGAGTGGACGCCTGAAACGTGGGCTTGCGGGAACGACCTCATCATATTGTCGATCGGATTACAGAATTGAGCTTGCTGATGAGGGTGTCGTTTGTGATGTCAATATGGTGACATGAGCGCGCTTGGAAAAGCAGTAGGGACCGAGCGACCCCAATCCTGGCAGCTGGAATGGTGAGAAGCCTGTGGCCCTGCCACACTTTCTGGACCTGGGGCAGTTGGAATGGTGAGCTGGAGCGCTCCAGGGGAGGGGCAATCTATAGACACATAAGTAAAGCACGTAGGACTCGAGCCACAGGAGGGGGACAATGTACAGGCACATGTGTAAAGGACATTGGATTCGAGCCCTTGGACAGGGGCAATCCATAGGCACACTTGCAAAACACAGAGGATTCGAGCCACAAGAGTGGGGCAATCCATATGCGCATACGTAAAGTCAAACAGGATCCGAGGCACAGGCGAGCGCCATTCTATAGGCACATACGTAAGCACATCGGAGTCGAGCCACAAGAGAGGGGCACTCTATAGGCACATACGCAGAACGCACAAGTCTCGAGCCGCAGGAGAGGGGCACTGTATAGGCACACACGCAGAACGCGCAAATTTCGAGCCACAGGAGGGGCAATGCGTAGACACCGACGTAAAACAGACAGGCTCCGAGCCACAGGAGAGGGGCAGTCCACAGGCACCTACCGCGAAGCACAAAAAAGCTCCGAACCACAGAAAGGGTGTGATCCCTCTCGGGGGCCAGGCTCCCAACCAAAGGCCAGAAAATCAACGCGTCGACAACGGGTACACGTAAGCTTCCGACGCTCCGTCCTGGGGCCCAGGCCAGGGAGGCTTGGGAGACGCATTAAGATTCGAGCCAGAGGAGAGGGGCAATCTGTAGGCACCTCTGGTAGAACACACAGGGTTCGAGTCACAGGAGTGGAGCATGCGTAAAATATGTGGGATTCGAGCCACAGGAGGGGGGCAATCCATAGGCACACTCGTAAAACACATGGGATTCGAGCCACAGGAGAGGACCGATCCATAGGCACATGCGTAAAACAGAAAGTTCCGAGCCAGAGGAGAGGGGCAATGTATATGCATATATGTAAAGCAAAGAGGATGCGAGCCGCAGGAGAAAGGCAATGTGTAGGCACATACATAAAACACATCGGATTCGAGCTACAGGATAGCCGCAATCAACAAGAACATGCGTAAAACACGCAGGTTTCAAGCTACAGGAGATGGGCAATCTATAGGAACATGTGTAAAACAGGTAGGATTCAGGGTTCAGGTTTCAGGACAGGGGCAATCTACAGGAACATACGTAAAACGCGTAGGACTCGATCCCCAGGAGAGGGGCAATCTAAGAGAGGGGCAATCTATGGGAACACATTTGTCAAAAAGCATCGGTTTCGAAGCCCAGGAAGGGGGCAATCTGTATAAACAGACGTGAGGCACACAGGACTCGAGCCACAGTAGCGGGGTCATCGATAGCCACATCCGTACACACACACACGGTGCCGGCAGCCCGCCAGGCTGGTGAGACGCTTCCCCCCGGCCCCCCCGGTGAAGATTCCGGTGTGCCTGAAGTTGATGTAAAATATTATAGTGAGCTTCATGTCTGGACCCAAGCAAGCCAGAACACCATGGTTCTAGGCCTCCTAGATGGGGTCGGAGTAGATGGGGTCGGAGGATCGCTCCGCATCGCCGATGCATCGCCGATGCGGCTCGATGCGGAGCCCGATTTGCTTCACGTCGACGTCGCCGATGCATAGCCCACGTCGACGATGCATCGCTGGTGCATCGCCGATGCATCGCCGATGCATCGCCGATGTATCGGCGATGCGGCGCGACCCTCCGACCGCATCTACTCCGACCCCATCTAGGAGGCCTCTGATGGTGACCTGCATTTCCGTACCAAATCCAGAAGCGACACTATCGTGAGCACTCCTGGCGGATTCTGGGCTGACCATGTGACGCCAGACCACCATACTGCGCTGCATTTCTGGGCCCAATCGAGCCAGAACAGCACAGTGGGCGCTGCCGGCATATTTTGCTGGCCGCCACAATCGAGCTGGGACACCCTAGTGTCTCTTGGGCCGAGTCGAGCCAGAACACCCTATAGTGGGCGCTGCTGGTAGATTCCAGGCCGCGCCGCCGGGCCCGTGTGAGGCGCCTTCCCGCAGCCCACCCTGAGAAGACTTTGGTTCGAGGAATCTCTGCCCCTTGTTTAGAACCTTCCAGCGGAAAGCCATCAGGGAAGAGTGCCACATCTAGGAATGCTTCGGAATTCCTAGGAATCTTTAGGAATTCCTAGGAATCCAGAGGAATTCCTAGGAACCCTGAGGAATTCCTAGGAATCCTTAGAAATTCCTAGGAATCCTTCGGAATTCCTACGAATCCTTAGGAAGTCCTAGGAATCCTTAGAAATTCAGAGAAGCACGACCGGAGCCCTGGACCCCCTCCTGCGGCGGCATCTTTCGAGGCGCGTCGATCAGCGGTGGCCCCGGGACCCGGTATGCGGCCTGATCGCCGCCGATGCGAGGAAGTTGCGACGCCAGGATCAACAAAACAAAGTCACCAGAGGGGTCAAGATGCTCCTCGATGGTCCCCTCCGAGAAACAGGCTCCTCCTCCTCCTCCTCCTCCTCCTCCTCCTCTTCGTCCTCCTCCTCCTCGTCCTCTTCCTCCTCTTCGTCCTCTTCCTCCTGTTATGCTGATGGATGCAGCGAGGGAGCAGCAACACCCAGCCCAGCCGAGAGGCGGCGACGCGGCTGGCAGCGCCGCGGCCGGCTGGTCTGCGCCTGGCGTGGCGGACCTCGGCGCCGCGGGCTGGGAGGAGAAGGCCCAGCGACTCAGATGCGCCGTCGCCGTCGCAGGGGATCGAGGATCGAGGATCGAGGATTGTTCTTGGACATTGTCTAGGATCGAGGATCGAGGATTGAGGATTGAGGATCGAGGATCGAGGATCGAGGATTGAGGATCGAGGATAGAGGATCGTGTATCGTCGCAGGGGATCGAGGATCGAGGATCGAGGATTGTTCTTGGACATTGTCTGCTCGTTTCGTTGTTTCTTACTTGCCGGGGCTCCCACGCCAGAGCGCATCCCAGGACGGGTCTGAGGTCAGTTTTGGAGGGAAGGAGGCGGAGGGGATGGAGGAGGAGGAGTAGGAGGAGGAGGCGGAGGAGAAGGATGAGGAGGAGGAGGAGGAGGAGGAGGAGGAGGAGACAGGCGGAGAAGGGGGAGAAGCAGGAGGAGGAGGAGGAGGATGAGTAGGAGGAGGAGGAGGAGGCGGATGCGGATACGGAGACCGATGATGATGATGCTGCTGCTGATGATGATGATGATGATGATTATGATGATGATGATGATGATGATGATGATGATGATGATGATGATGGTGATGATGATGACGATGATGGTGGAGATGATGATGCCGACGATGATGCTG